ATATAGTATAATAGCGGTTTAATAAAAATCATTTGAATTGTTAAAATTATTGTTTCTTCTATTGGTTTCTGTTGCCTTTTTTGAGAACTTTCTTGGGTTGACACGGTGGCACACATCAGACTGTAACATTATTTTATTATTTGTAAGCCAGCTCACTCTAGTTTTAATTACCACTGCTAATAGCTTCATTGTCTTCAAATTCAGGCTGTTGTTCTCTGCAGCAAGAAAAGATTTCAGTTTACTGAACAGGGCGACCCTGTGGATTTTCTGTCATGGTTTCTCAATGCTCTGCACACAACACTAGGAGGATCTGTTAAGAAGGCAAACAGTAAGTAGAATACTTTAAGTTAGTGTTTAAGTAATAGACCCAATTGGGTAACACATTGCCATACGTTACCACCCAATTCACATCCTGTGGGAAAAAGAACTTTTGTTTCTAAGAATTCAACTGTGAAATGAAAAATAATAACAACAAACAATGAAACTTACTCCCGTGTGGTTTGAATTGGGTGGAAACGTTTAGCCAATTAGATCTATTGAAAAAATAAAGTGCTTTCAAAAAGTAAACAAAAACACTAAACAATAATAAGTACTTAATATCTAGTCAATAAATAGTTATTAAAATTACGTCGTGTGTTTTCTTAAGCTATTATTTTCAAGTCATTCCAAGGAAGAATGAAGATTAAAACAAGAAAAGTTCCTCAAACAGAGGTATATTTATGACATTATTGATAGTTAGCATTCTTGATAATAATAACAACATTCCGGGAGTGCCAAACTGTTATCTATAAATATATTGTAAAATGATTCCTTACTTATTATGATGTACATTTTTTTGTCAATATATTTTATATACTTATTAATGAGATGTTATGAAATTCATGATTTATCAATAATTATTGATAATTAATTAATTAAATTTAATTTGCAGAATGAAGAAGAGAAAACTAAACAAATGAATGAAGAAGAATATCAAGGTAGCCATGGAGATATACCAAACCAATCTAACTCCTCCCCCCCCCCAACAGCTTCACCCACCCCTCCCCCAACAGATTTTGTACTTGCTTATGTTTTGCCTTTTTTCCAGAGAAAGTTTCAGAGTCTCCTTACCTTTTGCTTAACATGGATATCCCAGCATCACCTCTTTTTAAAGATGAACTGCAGCAAAACATTATCCCTCAGGTAAAATAGAGGATATTACATGGGCGCGTGTTGCTACAAAGGAAACAACTGCTGCTCCTACTAAACCCTTTTGCTTAACATGGATATCCCAGCATCACCTCTTTTTAAAGATGAACTGCAGCAAAACATTATCCCTCAGGTAAAATAGAGGATATTACATGGGCGCGCGGGGATACAAATTTTATCTTCGAGTGTTGAAAGATCTCTCACGAGTGAGCGTAGCGAAGTGAAAATATCAATTTTACGTAATGGAGAAATATAGGTATTTCATAGATAATTATATGATAAAAATTATTATAAGATAAATGATTTATTACTCTCCACTGGAGAAGTGAGTGTGTTCAGGGAACCATGTTCTTGACTGACAAAACATTTGAAATATGTGATTATTAGCAAAATCATAGCAAGGGTAATGCATTTTCGGATTGTCCAACAGTTTATTGGACAGGACATGTAAATCCAAAACAATAGCAATACTCAATGTTTATTAACAAACTCATTCTTATGTTAATGTGCCAACCATGATCAGAATTGCTTTTCGCAAGTCGCTTAATGTTCTACCAGCCAATCGTCTTCTGGTTGGCACATGAATAACAAAGTCTTACATCACATTGAGTATTGCTATACATGTGTACTCGTGCAATTTTGCAGTCAGTGTACTGTTGTTTGTTGTTCTGAAACTCCAAAACTGCCTGGAATCACAGCTCAGTTCTTAAATGTAATTTGTAATAGACGACTTTAGATATTTTGGTTCAGTGACCATGCACAAAAGAATTGCGGACGAGGCTCCGGGGAAACAAAAGAATAAATCAAGATTATCCATTGTTTCCCCGGAGCCTCGTGTGCGTTCTTTTGTACATAGTCATCGAACCAAAATATCTAAAGTCGGCTATTACCTAATGGTATACTCTGAAGTAAGAATTATATTAAATTTTTTATATACTTTTCATTTTTTTTCTTTTTCTAGATATCACTT